CGACACGGTCCAAAGTGCGAAACTGGCAACGGTCCTCGGTCTCTGAGCTGCCATCTGCCGTCAACTCAAAGGTCACTCGCCGCGCCTGAGAATGTGGTTGCTTGCACATGGACATGTCTTGCAACACAAACATGTGGGAGGGGGATGTCGTTGTCATATTGTTTCAACCTCCAAGGCTGAGTTCAAAGTCCCATAGTCGTGGTATCGTTCAACTCCAGCCTTCACATCACCAGTGCTTGCCAAAGAATTCCAAACATTCTGATACCACTGTTGTCTGCATGGAGCAATCAACGTTGAGCTGTGATGTCTTGTTTCGGCTCACACAAATTGAATCCGACAAAGATCTCTTGGAAGTACCGCACCTGCGGTTGAAGCTCGTTAGCTGCCGCAGACACCTTGAACGGGGCAGAGTGGAAGCCCACTGCAGTGTCTGGCTGGTGCCAAGTTCAAAGTGCAAACTTCTGCAACGCTCCAGAACGCAGCCATGGGCCACTAAGACCGTGTCATTCTCTGGTTGATCCCCAGGTTGCTGCTCCTCGGCAACTGCATACGAAACAACATCTTAGTTCTTGCAACTTGACTTCCTTGTGCACAACAATTGCCATTACTGGCCCAAACGAACTGCTTTTCTGCTGCCTTATACGGACAGCAAGAGACACTAAGCTTCCATCAAGCTGTTGAGGCTGTCGGGCATCTGCCTCGAGGCTTTCTGATTGCACCTGGCGTTGCTTCATGATGGATCTCTAGGCGTGAAGTCGTGCGACTCTATGCAACCGGCATCGGTCCTCGGTCTCTGAGCTGCCATCTGCCGTCAGCTCAAAGGTCACTCGCCTTGCCTGAGAATGTGGCTGCTTGCACATGGAGATGTCTTGCAACCGCAACATGTGGGGGGGATGTCGTTGTCATATTGTTTCAAGCTGCAAGGCTGAGTTTAAAAGTCCCATCTGCAATCTGCGAAAGCCGTGGAATCGTTCAAAAGGAACACAGTCCTCCAGCAGATTATCGTGCATTCCGTATTGGTGGCGAGGTACCCTTGTGTGCTTTGGCTGTGTTTGATCCTGTTCTACGCGCGGCAGTACCGCACCTGCGGTTGAAGCTCGTTAGCTGCCGCAGACACCTTGAACGGGGCAGAGTGGAAGCCCACTGCAGTGTCTGGCTGGTGCCAAGTTCAAAGTGCAAGCTTCGACGCTCCAGAACGCAGCCATGGGCCACTAAGACCGTGTCATTCTCTGGTTGATCCCCAGGTTGCTGCTCCTCGGCAACTGCATACGAAACAACATCTTAGTTCTTGCAACTTGACTTCCTTGTGCACAACAATTGCCATTACTGGCCCAGACGAATTGCTTTTGGGTGCGGATTCATTTTGGGATTTGTTTATTTTATTTTGTTTTTCTGATTTTTATTTTTTGCTTCCGTTTTTCGTCCGGGCCAGTAAAATGTCGTATTTTACAGCATTTTCTCGCGAAATTGACGCATTTTACACTAGCCCGCCAACATCCCCAGCATTGTTTTCAACATCCTCGCATGTCCGACAAACATCCCTAGCATCACCAACAAATCCTGGGTAACAAAATCAAAAAAGTAGCTGCCGGGTTGACAAAGTGAAAAAAAACAGATGATTCAAACTAGGAGGGCATTTCAGAAATTTCAATTTCAGTCCCTGTAAAAAAAACAACAACAAAGTAGCGGGGGGGTTGGGGGGGGGCTGCGGGGCTGCCCCCCCCATGATGTTCGAAGAATTGATGATTCAACTAGGTGTGCAACTAAATCTCTGTAGAAAATCTAGACAGTAGCGGGGGGGTTGGGGGGGCCGGCAGCCCCCCCCATGATGTTTGAAGAAGTGTTGATTCAAATAGGGGTGCAATTACTCTGCAAACAATCTAAACAGTAGCGGGTGGGGTGGGGGGGGGGTTCCCCCCCCATGATGTTCGAAGAAGTGATGATTCAAATAGGAACTGGTGATGCTGATGATGCGGGAAGCCAAGTCCAAAAACCAATGAAAGGGTGCAAAAGCCAAAAAGCCCAGAGAGGAACTGTGAAAGCAGAGGATGCAAAAATAAACCAGCGAAACGCCACCTGCCGTGGGAATGCAGAGGATGCGAAAAGCCAAAGCCAAAAAGCCACCAAAAGCCGCATAAACCAACAAAAAGCCGAGAAGCCAAAAAGCCAAGAAGCCAAAAAAGGCCTACAATAAATACCCCTCCATTGCTTTTGTGCTGCCTTATAAGGACTGCAAGAGACACTAAGCTTCCATCAAGCTGTTGAGGCTGTCGGGCATCTGCCTCGAGGCTTTCTGATTGCACCTGGCGTTGCTTCATGATGGATCTCTAGGAGTGAAGTCGTGCGACTCAGTCTGAGCTTGCGCTTTGCATCACGCCTTTCTGCATGCCTCCCTCTGTCCGGTCACAAGCACTATGTTCAAACTGGCGGCCTGTGCCGCCATAGTCTAATAGTGCAAATCAATGAGCTCTCACAAAGGCTTGAGCCTTGTCGGCGTCTTACGGTACATGACATTTCAGAAGTGCCACCCACAGTGAGCAATGCAAGTTCACTCAACACTCGACCTTTTCCACCCCATCACCTTCAGTGCGGATGGCCATCATCAGCTCATTAACTGCCCTGTCTGGTGCAGGCAACATTTGTACATGACCAAACACTCGAACAAACAAAAAACACTGCCAGTGTGGTCGCCATGTACGTTTGTGCAATCAGATCCGAGTTTGGTAGTATTGGTCTTGGTGAAACGTGTCTTTGCCGCGTAAACACACAAACACACTCAATGGCTCACATCAGCCTGGTGAGGCAGCTCCTGTCGAGAGGGACCTTAAGCTTCCGCGTTGGCGTCGTGCAAGAACCACGGCTTGGTCTCTTCAATGAACTGGAAGATGCTGTTGGCGATCTTGGCAAAAGCCGCATTTTTGCGCTGGCCCTCGCTCTCTCCCACACGTGCTTCCTACCACGTGCCACTCACTTCTTGAGCCGGGGTACCTCCAGCTTGTCCGGGTTCTTGTCAGGATGCCACTTCAACTGCAGGAACCTGTTGCCGAAGCGTCCGTTCTCTCTGCCCGCCAGCCTGGGCCATCACCCGCCTGAGGGCCTTCTTACGCTTTGCCACTTCCATTCCCTCAGCACAAATCCAGGCAAAACACACATGATGCAGCAACAACCCTGGCCTGGTTGACCATGGATTCCATCTCCTGCGCACAGAAAATTCCCCCGCCTGAGGGGAAAGGGGACCGTCCCGTCCTTGAGCACCGAGCTCTTGATCTGATAGACCGCATGATCCTCAAAGTTAGCATCGAGCTTCGGAGGTGCCTAGGCTGGCAAGACATGCAATCAATCTGGCAACAGTTGAGCTCCCTGCTGGGCCCCTGGGAGGCACTTGAGCGCTTTCCTCGTGACTCAAGTGACAGTCCAAAGTCCCCTCCACTAGTCCATGCCTGCTGCTGCTGTTGCTTGCCCGACCTTACGTGGCCGGTCACTGGCAGGGCACCAGCCTGAAGCCTGGTCTCCAGCGCCCGGTTGGGTTCTCAACATAGGGGAATTGAAATGATGGGTTTCCTTTGGTTTCCCTTTCAAGCGACTCCAAAAAAGGCAACCCCGATTTGAGCGCGGCACGCGCCGCCAGCAGCTCCGGCACCAGCCTGGCCGTGCAGGGAGTTCTCAAAATGACTTCGGACCCTTGTTCTGGGTGGTATCTTCAGGGCAACAACACGGAAACCGTGGCCACTGTAGGGAATTTCTCTGAGAAACATCCATTTGCGGTGCCTGCTGGGAGTACCAAGATGTATACTGCTGATACCACCTTCGGTCGCTCGCAGGATCTTACGCAAAGCAACGTGTGACAACCACATGTGTTGACGGCTTGCTATTGCAGACTTGCGGAAGGGCAGCAGTGGGGCGCCGACTGCTGCCATTGCTCGCGCTGCTTCTGGTTCTCCTGAGTGGCAAATCGGCCCATTTTGTGAAGGCCAACCGCCGGTCAACATTGGCACTTCATGTTTGTCCAGGGATCCCAGGTCAATGGTAACGATGTGCCTACATGTTGCTGTCTTTGTAAATGGCAACCAGGCACGCCCACATGCAAACGTGCCTTTTGCAGTGCATCACTGCGACACAACACCCTGACCAATTGCAAGCATATGACATGGCAGAAAGCCCAGCTCCTCTTCTTGCTTTCGCAAGTTGGAAAACGGTTCTTCCTGCCAGCACACACACACACACACACACACAAACAGAACCAAACGACTCCACGTTCGCACAACCAGAATAATCACAAGGACCACAAGTACACACACACACACATGCGGACACTATCGTCTTGACGTTGATGGGAATATTCTGGGTGAATACGTTTGGCACGGGGCCAGGAAGCAACCTGGGCAACACGCCTTGTGGATGAATGTTTGTCGCAAAGCCCTACCAAGCATATCGTGAAATGTCCTGCTGCGATTCTGTTGTGCCTGGCATTCGTGCTCAAGGTGCATGATCAACATCGAGCGATTTTGCAATATTAACATTGAGGGGGTTGCCCAGCAGAAAACCGCTGTGTAGCAGCAATGCAGCCATGCAGGTTTCATGGTGCCCACATTGAGTGCAGGATATAAATTGGCAATGAGTATCACGTTTGGCCAACATCAAATATCAAACAACATCAGCCGGGCCGGGCTGTAACAAGCATTCTATCCAAATGCCAGCAAAGTCGTGCATGCTCCATCTTCATTCTTTGCCCGTCCCCACTGTATCGCCTGTAAGCTGGTTGCGATCGAGCAAGTCTCTCAAACAGCATGGAAGGTTTGGAAAGCTTGCCAGGCAACTCCAAGACTATTCGAAAGGCAGTTCTGGAGCAAGCAATGCGCTGTCACGAAAGCGCCTGACTGAAATGCTGCAGCCTGAGGACAAACCCGTATGCATTGAACAGCAATGGGTCAAGTTACGAAAGCTCTGCTCCAGGTCCCCAAGATCTCAGTGCTTGGCAGGCTCACGGGCAGTAGTGCCAGGAGGCAAAGACCAGGACTGGCGCAAACACACAGTTCAAGGACTTCCGTTCTGCAACAGCTGGACGACATGCTCAAGTGAGCAAAACCCATGCGGGCCGCGCGGTGTGGTTGGTTCGCTCATTGTGGTAGTAGACTTGACCCTCTGGCGTTCGGTATCTCACCCAATCCGTCTCTGGCTGCTGCGATTGCTGCGGCTGCTGCTTTTGCGAGGGAGATGCTGCAGCCTTCTCCTGAGATGCCTGGTACTCCTTCTGCCGCTGCTCCTGAGAGTGCTGCACACATCTCTTTGCATGCCTCGCTATCTTTAAACTTGCATCCATACCAGATTGGTGTCTGCATCCAATGCAAATACCAAGAGTGCAGTTTGCAATTGGAACTGCTGCAGAGCTTGTTTGCCGCGAGCCTCATTTAATTTGCAGCGACGGTAGACCAGGACATGAAAGGAGTCTTCTATGTATATACACATGTATACGTTATACCAACCAACCAACCGAACAAACCAAGCAAAGAACCAACACCCCTTGCCTGCTTGTGCCGCTCTGCCTCCTCGCGCTGCTTCTGTGCCTCCCTTTGCGCTTCCTCTCGCTGCAGCTGCGCCTCTTGCTGATGCAGAAAGGCCTCCTGCTGTGCTTTCTTCTGCCCTAAAGAGACCTGCACAGAGCAGTGGCAGCCAAACTCTTGGTTGCCATATCTTGGGATCACTCCCATGGGATGCACTTTCTGCATGCAGGAAGGAACTTGACTTTTTGGGGATTCTCCCCAAGCAGTCACCTCAGTTTGTTGGCGCAAAACCATGCGCGAGGGCAGCTGTCCGCCCTTTTTTCTCTCTATGCTAAAGTAAGCCTGTGGCAAAAGGGGTCCCTAGGGATTGAACCAGTGGCAGCGGTTTGCAAACACTCGAACCAGAGGCGACCAAACGAAAAACACCACAACGCCCCAAAACTCCAAACCAAAGCCATTGGTTCATTCCGTTCCCTTGGCTCGCTTCTTAGCGGCCGTAAACAGCGGGTCATGGACAATTGTCCATTTCCCTTCTACCAGGACCTTTTGAAGCGCCCCGCCATGCGTCAGCCCCTTTGTCAGGGCATCCGCGAGTTGAGCATCGCTGTGAACCCAGCGGATCTGCGTTCCGCCATCACTCAGCCTCTGGATGAGGCTCAGAAACTCCACGGTGCTGTACTTCTCCTTGAGTCCAGCCCCAGCCGATTCATCGTGCCCTTCTTGACCACGTCGTAGAGGGCCTTGGCATCCGTCACCAAAGCACCTGGCACCTTCTCCAGCAGCTCCCGCACCTGGCCTGGTTGGGCTTCATGCCCACACATCTCTGCCCACTGAAACCTCAGAAACATGAGCTCCTCTTCGCACTCCGACATCGCCTGAAGTTCTGCTCCAAGAGATGACCGAGCTACCCGCGGCAAGCGCCCCGATCTCCAAGCCATGATCGACAGCGGTGCCGGCTCATTCTTCAGCATCTTTGGGCTCGTGGCGGCAATGACATAGCGTCCAGTACTGGTGTTCCCCGGCCTGTTGCCCAGCGCCGCGTCACACCAGCCCACGAAGTTCACCTCCTCCGGCTCACAATGCAACACATTCACCTTGATCGAGATGTGCCTTTGAGCTTGGCACTCCCGAAGCAACTTGTTCAGCTTCTTGATGGTCGCCACCGTCGCCACACTGATCTCTGACTGCAGAAGTGACAACTTCGCAGCATGCTGTGGTGCAGTGTTATAGCACCGCCACTGAAGTGCGCCAAGTAGACCTCTGATCTGGCCGCGCTCAAATTCCGTCACCTGCTCCTTCTCGTCGCGGTTCTGGAACTCCACCGGCTCCAGATTGTCCACAAAGCTCGCATGGTCCAGGGTGACCGAGAAGTCCTCGTTCTCCTTCAGGATCACTCCACAATGGCTGAATGATCCGAATTCCCAGTCACTCCAGTCATACCTATGGTAGAACTGGGTCAGCGCGTCCACCCACTCCTCGCAACCCCCATTGCCCACCACGCAAGGGTCCGTGACCAAAGGCTCCATCCCAGCCTTCCGCAACGTGTTGGTGACATTTGAAACCAGGATGCCGGTGCCGTGATCAAACCGTAGCAGCTCTTGAGGATCTGCACGCACTCGCCTTCCTTCAAACCCATCTCGCATGCCAACTCTTAGCGAACAGCTTCCTGTCCTCCTCCGAAGATGCGCCTTGCAGAAAAGCCGCACGCACATCCCCTTTCAAGGCTCGCCACCTCCTACAGCACTTGTACTGTCCGGCGACTCATGGTTGGACTCGCCGTCGCCAGACCTTCAACATCTGGATCCTGATACCCGATCAGGACGATCCGTGCCTTCGGTGCGCCGCTCTCCTTGTAGCATAGCACCCACCTCATGTTGGTGCACCGCTCGGTCGTCACCATGTTGCCAGCTCCCCGAACTGCTGCATTTCGCACCCATGCTTGCACTTCCACGTGCTTGGCCTTGTCGAACTCTGCCAGCTGCTCCAAGTTCAACTTCCT